GCCACGAAAATCATTTCCAATTAAATGCCTCCTCAGAGCCTATCTGGCTGGGAATTAGCCTGGAACTTGGTGCCTGTGTTGTTAGCTCATCAAAGTCTCTGGGATAACAGGGAGGTGCTGCCTCGGGAGCGATGCACTGGTTGGGGATTTTGCTCATCACTTTGAACTGCAAACTGGGACACGAGTGCCCTTTGCTCACCTTCAGCACTTCTCTCTTCCCACAGCTGAGTAAGCAACTCAGGGCTACAAAACACAGCCCTGTGGCAGTTGTCCCACGCTCTGCCCTCCAGGGACCTCAGCTCTTGCAGAATCCTTGGGAAGGAGCTGGCCACGCGCTCCAGCTTACAGGGGAGGGATTCTATGGCTCCTGTGACTCAGCCCACAGCTCCCATGTGCTTCCCTGCATCGAAAGGAGAGAAGGAGGCATGAGACCTCCATTTGTCCCCTAATTGTCTGCCTGACTGATCTCCACCCCTAGGGACCTTCCCCAAGTTGGCAGTGCCAACCACTGCTGCTCTCCCCACAGCAGGAACCTGAAGGGTATCTGGATGCCAAGGGCAGTGGCAGTGGTGGCTGGTGAGTGTCTTTTCCTGGGCAGAACAGATAGTAACCAGGTCAGAAGCCCAGAGAGCTGGATGTGGAGCTGCCAAGGATGGAGAGGGAACAGCAGACATGACCCCAGTCCCAGTGGAAATTGGTGTCAATTTTTGGGGATACCTGACTAGTTGGAGAAGAACCTCAGTACCCTGTGGGTGGCTGAGCAGTGCCAGGAGGGACAGGGGGATCTGGGGGGATCTGGGGGGCTGCAGTGTGGCTGCTGGGGACCAGCTTTGGGGCTAAGGGCTGCAGGATGCACTCCTCTGCCCTGCCTGGCAGCAGTGGGACAGGAGGCTGAGCCCAGGTGTTCTTCAGGGATTCTGCCCTCTGGCACAGGGCTGGGGGCACTGACCTCACTGGAATTTCTATGGAAACCCAGGTACTGAAAGGGGTGGAATAGCTCAAACCATCTGTTCTTCCCCTGCTTATAAACTCGATCATTTCATGATGACATCACTAAAAATGCTCCTTTTATTCCTCTTGCAGCCATCTGTGATGGTTTCCTCATGTGCCAAACACGCGAGCGGGTGCTGAGGGATGGGCAGGAGGATGTAACCACCCCATGTCTCCTGTTTCATTCCTTCCCTTGGAAAGCAACCCTGTCCTTGTGGAGTCTCCCTCGTCCCCTCCCTGAGGCATCTTCAGAGCAACTGGCAGAGTTAGATGGAAGAAATGCAGGGCTCCAAGGTGAAAAATGAAGCACAAACTAATGCTGAACTTTTCAGGGACTACAGAGGATCTGCCATGGGGATCTTATGGACTCATGTGGTCCTCACAGTCATGCTGGCTGATGAAAGAGGTGACAACCTGCCACCACCTGCCCTGCTGCTGCTGGAGGTCTGCTCCCTGCCCAGGAATTGAGGGGCTGGCTGGTGATGAATCCCTCAGGTGCCAGAGAAGAGCTGGAGCTGGTGATGCCAATCCCCCATGTCTGGCTCCCCTGTCTACTGCTGTGGGTTGTGTTTGTTCAAGTGACCAAATTCTCCCTCTCTGTGGCAGTGGAAAGAACCCTTGATGAGCCAGAACCTTTCAGACCTCCCTGCGAATGAGAAGGAAAAAATGGCTAAAGTTGAGACCAGGAAACGGCAGAAATAGTTTCAGAAAGCAGCAGACGAGGAGAGATTATGATGCCCAGTTCTGGTGGCTAATGCAGGCTCAGGAGTGAGTGATCCTTGCTCAGCCACGTTGGGCTTGGGAAGTTCCTCCACTCTGAGACCACAGAACTGTAGAATCACTCAGTGGTTTGAGTTGGAGGAACCTTAAACTTATCTAATCCAACCTCCTGCCATGGGCAGGGACACCTTCCCCCAGCCCAGGTTGCTCCAAGCCCTGTCCAGCCTGGCCTGGAACACTCCCAAGGATGGAGCAGCCACAGCTGCTCTGGGCAACCTGTGCTGGTGCCTCAGCACTCTGAGTCAAGAATTTCTTCCTAACATCTAATCTAAATCTCTCCTCTGTTGCTCTAAAACCAGTCCCTCTTGCCCTATCACTATCTGGCTGTGTAAAAAGTTTGAGCAGGACAAAGAGCAATGGTGCAAATTTCTTTGGTTGACACAACCTGCAGAAGGCACTTGGCTTGTTCCCCTGGCCTGATTGCTCCCAGAATATCTCAAAGGCTCCTTCAAGCTTGGTGACCCAAATGCAGCACCTGTGCCATGCCAAGAAGCCTGAAGGTCTGCACCTGTTCAGTGAGCAAACTGAGCTGCCTGGGGCCACCTTGTCTTGGACAGCACCAGCTCCTGGTCTCTGTTGTCATCATCCCTGTCTTCTCTTGTCTTCTTCTCTAGGGGAGGAGGATAGTGCAGAGCCAGCTTCAAATCTCTTGGGCTGTGTTTGTCCCTGCCCTGCTCAAGGCCCTCCAGTGTCCCCTAACAGTCCCAAACCTTTCACTTTGCTCTCCCCAGGTCACTGTCCGTTACGACACCATCCTGACCCAAAATAGTGAGCTCCAAGAAGAGACTCAAAACCTGAATTTCCAGGGAGCAATTTAGTAAAACTTCTACTGGAAGCTTCACAGGAAGCTGATCCAGCAGAATAGAGTGTTGAATGCTGCCATTGAACAAGCCACAGAAGACCAGGAGCAGTGGTATGTGGCCTTGCCAGCCCTCTGGGAAAAACGTGGTGCTGACAGCAATGCCAGCAACGAGTATTGATGTAGAGAGACCAGTTGCACCTTCAGAGAGAGGGTTCAGTGCTCTTGTCTAGAGTTGGGTGCTATGGGTTAGGTGCCTGGTCAGTGCAGGGATCCTGGCACTTCCAGGGTGCTTTATTCCACCTGTCCCAGGGGTTTCTTGGGATGGAGGTGAATTGCCCCATGAAGGACTCTCTGCTGAGTCCCACCTGAGCTGGTTGCTGTGCCCAAGTACAAAACCCCACCAAGAGCAGGAGATCCTTCATCCTCTTCAATTTTGCCAGTGGGCTGAATGTCAAGAATGAGAGGATGAAGCAGAGGATCAGGGACATCCAGGTCTGTTCCAGGCTCTTCGTGTCTCCCCTTTCCAGCTAGTGCTTTTGGGCTGGGGTGGGTTTGTCCTCTCCCATGTGTCCAGCATCTCTGCCCACACCAGAGCCTGGCTCACGGCCACACAGGTGGGATTAGGGGCATGCAAAGACGTGGGCAGGAGTATAACGCTGACAGGCAGAACACTTCGTTCTCAGAGCTAAAAATGTCCCAATGCTGCCACCGTGTACCCAGCAAAAATACTGCAGCACCCGGAGAGCCAAGAGCTTCCTCCAAGTGTGTGTGGAGTGAAAAGTGGTGTCGCCCATCCCCTGCCCTCCTGGCCTGGGGATGGAGGTCCCTGAAGGGTCAAGTGGCATGTCCCTGCTCCCAGGGAGGAGGGGTGTCCCCAGCCTCTCCTTGGCATGCCTGGTGGGTATCCAGGCAGTATCCTCACCATGTGCTCGTGTTTGCACAGGAAGAAATGGCAGTCAACAACCTGGAGCAGGAGGATGCAAAGACAGCCCAGATTCGTGTCCTGCAGGAGCTGGAGGTATGGTGACTGTGAATTCCCTCTGCAAGGGCAGCAGATCCCTGTCTGTTCTGCCACTTGGAGTCTGGTCCTGTCCATGCTGCTCTGGCAGGAGCTGGAGAGGTGTGGGCAAAAGGGCCCTGCATCAGCTTCAGCAGCTCCCACTGCATGGTGACAAGGTGACTGCAGAGCTTCTGCCAGTCCTGGTCTGGCATGGGGAGCTTGGGATGCCCTTCAGAGAGCCTCTTCCCTGACGGGATGGGAGCATCCCACAGTCTCTCCTGGGATGTCTTCTTTATTTTTAAAGAACACCCTGTGGGTGTTCTTTAATCTGCTGGAGCAGATTACCCAGAGAGGTTGTGGAGTCTCCCTCATTGGAGATACTCAAGAACCATCTGGATGCAATTCTGTGCTCCAGGATGCCCCTGCTTGAGCAGGGAGGTTGGACCACATGACCCACTGTGGTCCCTTCCAGCCTTAACCATTCTGAGAGAGGAGCTGTGGCCAGAAGACAATCCCCAATTCCCCCTGCTGCCACATGTCCTCCTGAGCCATTCCCAGTCAGCCTGTCCTGCCCCACGGGGTATACAAATCTTGTGATGCCTTGTGTGATGGGGTGGCCATTCCCTTGGGCTGTGGAAGAGGCACTGGACCATGACCAGCTGCATCAGCTGATCATCCAGATGCATGAGAAGGAGTTGGCCAATCCCTCCAGCACAGACAAGAAGAGGAGGAGACACACCAAAGCGTGAGATCTCAACAGGTATGAATTAAAGAAGCAATTTCATTCTTGAGCTGCTGTGTCCTGAGCATCATTTCATGTTCCTTTTCTGGAAGGAGCCAAATGCCTTCTGCAGGGTTCAAAAGCTCCCCAGGTGATATTTTGGCATGGCTTCACCCACAGCTGGGGTGGGATCAGCTGCTCTGCAGTGGGGTGACATCCCAGTCACACAACCCAAGGTGCTTCCCACAGCTGGAGACAGGGACTGTGGTTCTGGTCCTGCACTGTGCCTGTCCAGGGGCCTGGGGATGCCAGGCAGGGTGCAGTGGGATGAGTGTGTTTGTGGGGTGTTCCCTGCTAAGCTGGCAGAATACAGCAGCTTTCTGCTGCCTAAAGCAAATCTGAGCTCAGCACTGGCCCTGGGCTGGTGGGCTCAGGTGGCTGCTGGCCACAGCCCAGTGAAAAACAGGCTGTTTGTGCTGGGAGTGGGCAGAGGGACCTGAGGGCACATGAGGGAGACATGCAGCAGGGCCAGAAGGTTGGGGCAGTGGGGCCTGGGAGGGGTTCAGGGGCTCCCGTGGGGCACAGACGCTCTGTGCCACACACCACGCGAGCCCAAGCACTGCTCACACCAGCAGCTGGATTTCCTCTGGCCAAAAGGCAGTTTAATGTGGATGTCATTCCTGTGCCAAATTCCCAGGCATGTGTGTCTCCAGGGAAGAGGAAAGGGAGCCCCTGTGTGCCCTAGGGAGAGGTGATCTCACAGTGCCAGCCCCAGCCCTGTGCGTGGGCTAGTCCTTCTCTTCGCCGTGTGTGATGACATGGACCAGGTTCTTGTAATCCAGGTTGCCAGACATGTCTGGAGGGAAGGCTGCAAACATCTGATCGATCTGCAGGGAAGAGCCAGGTTGACAAGGTGGCACAGAAGGGGTTTGGGACCAGGGCTGGGGTCTGTTGGGAAGGAGGGCAGGGGATGCTGGCAGAGAGTGGGAAAGAGCTCATACCTCTTCCTGGGAAAACCTCTCACCCTGTGTCATCAGCATTTCTTTGATGCTGCAAACAAGAGAGCGTGGTGAGCACCGTGGTGGTGTCCCTCACCACCCCCCAGGTACCCCTGCACTCACTAGGCAGATTTCAGGCCTTTCCCCTCTGGATCAAACACCTTGAACGCGTTCAGGATTGTCTCCTCTGGGTCAGCACCTGTGGGTGACATGGCCATGGCCATGGGAGGTGGTGAAGTAGGAAGCTGCAGCCTCCTGCTTGCCCCAGCCTTTGTGGGGA